AGGGTTTCTCCATGTTGGTCAGGCTGGTCTCAAACTCCCGACCTCAGGTGATCCACCCGCCTCAGCCTCCCAAAGTGCTGGGATTACAGGCCTGAGCCATCATGCCTGACCTTAAGAGGGAAGTTTATAATAATAAACACCTATATCGAAAAAGTGGAAAGACTTCAAACAAACAACCTAAGGATGCATCTCAAGAAATGAGAAAAGCAAAAACAAACCAAACCCAAAATTGATACAAGGAAAGCAATAATAAACATTAGAGCAGGCTGGGCGCAGTGGCTCACACCTGTAGTCCCAGCACTTTGGGAGGCCAAGGTGGGCGGATCACGAGGCCAGGATATTGAGACCATTCTGGCCAACACAGTGAAATCCCATCTCTACTAAAAATACAAAAGAATTAGCTGGATGTGGTGGCACGCACCTGTAATCCTAGCTACTCGGGAGGCTGAGGCAGCAGAATCACTTGAACTTGGGAGGTGGAGTTTGCAGTGAGCCGAGATCACACCACTGCACTCCAGCCTGGGTGACAGAGCAAGACTGTCTCAAAACAAAACAAACAAACAAAAAGATTAGAGCAGAAATAAATGAAATTGAGATTAAAAGAATAATACATAAAATCAATGAAACAAAAAGTTGGGTTTTTTTTTTAAGATAAACAAAATCAACACATCTTTAGCTAGACTAACTAAGAAAAAAAAGAGAGAAGACCCAAATAAATAAATCAGAAATGAAAAAGGAGAATAACAACTGAGATCTCAGAAATACAAAGAATCATTAGAGACTATTATGAACAACTATATGCCAACAAATAGGAAAACCTAGAAGAAATGGATAAATTTCTAGAAACATACAACCTACCAAGATTGAACCATGAAGAAATAGAAAACCTCAACAAACCAATAATGAATCATGAGATCAAAGCCATAATAAAAAGTCTCCCATCAAAGAAGAGATCAGAACCTACTGGATTCACTCCTGAAGTCCACCAAATATTTAAAGAATGAATACCAATCTTACTCAAACTCTTCAAAAAAAATAAAGAGGAGGGAATACTAACAAACTCATTAAATGAGGCCAGCATTACTCAGATGCCAAAACCAGGCAAGAATATAAAAAGATCATTCACCATGATCAAGTGAGATTTGGCCCAGGAATATAAGGATGGCTCAACATATGCAAATCAATAAACATGATACCCCACATTAATATAATAAAGGACAAAAACCATATGATCATCTTATTACATACAGAAAAAGCATTTGACAAAATTCAAATCCTTTCATGATAAAAACTCTCAAAAGATTAGGTTTAGAAGAAATATACCTCAATACAATAAAGGCCATGTATGACAAGCCCACAGCTAACATTATACTCAATGGTGAAAAGTTGGAAGCTTTTTCTCAAAGATCAGGAACAAGACAAGGATGCCCACGCTTACCACTTCTATTTCATATGTACTGGAAATCTTTGCCAGAGCAATTAGGCAAGAGAAAGAAATAAAAGGCATCCAAATAGGAAAGGAAACAGTGAAATTGTGTCTATTTGTTGACAACATGATCTTATATATAGAAATCCCTAAAAACTGTTAGAACTCAGAAGCAAATACAGTAAAGTTGCAGGATACAAAATCGGTAGTAGGGTGGTGTAGTAGCGGCAGCGAGGGGCTCGCAGAGGTACTCGGATTCTCGTAGCTGTGCCGGGATTTAACCACCACCATGTCAAGCAAAAGAGCAAAGACCAAGACCAAGAAGCGCCCTCAGCGTGCAACATCCAATGTGTTTGCCACATTTCACCAGTCACAGATTCAGGAGTTCAAAGAGGCCTTCAACATGATTGATCAGAACAGAGATGGTTTCATCGACAAGGAAGATTTGCATGATATGCTTGCTTCATTGGGGAAGAATCCAACTGAAGAGTATCAGGATGCCATGATGAATGAGGCTCCAGGCCCCATCAATTTCACCATGTTCCTTACCATGTTTGGTGAGAAGTTAAATGGCACGAATCCTGAAGATGTCATCAGAAATGCTTTTGCTTGCTTTGATGAAGAAGCAACTGGCACCATT